CACAGAGAGAGAACAAAGACCCGAGGAAAGATGATCACCGAGGTAAACCTCCTCCTGCTCCTCTACGGGGGTCAGAGGTCAAAAGTTTAGACATAAGCAAAGAGTGAACAGCCACCCCTTATATTATCAGTGTTTATTTTATGATCTGGTGAGAACATTTTAAAATCTTCAGTAGACTAAGTCATCTCTCTTTTCTTTCACTCCATCCAGACTGAGAAGTTTTCGGGGGCGGTGCCTCAGGACGACAGCCACTCCCCCGTCTCCATGGCAGCAGACGGGGAGCCGGGTCAGGAGGAGGAGCACGAGAACATGAAGAACCTTCTGATCAGCACCAGCAACAGCCTGAGCGCCGAGCAGGGAGGAATGAGGCGCTCCAGGGGCTTCCGCAGTAAGACCCTGTTCAATCTGAGCATGCTCAGATCCTTTTAGTGAAAGATTTGAAGCTGTTAGATGAAAGTGACTGACAGGAACAGGAAACAAAAACATGATGATGCAGTCTTTGCTTCTCCTTAACCTCTTTTTCTCTTCACAAAAATCACAAAAAGTTAAACATTGTCCCTGCTCCGATTTAAAAAAAAAACAGCCTAAATAGGACTTTTCTCATAAATTGGGGGGTTTGTATACGGACTAGGGACACATATTAGTGTAAGAGAAACATGGTAAAACAATATGTGACCTTTAGATTCACCTGTTGGAGCGCTGAGACCTTTAACCATTTGAGATAGTTAAATTCTGATTCACATTCTTGATGGAGCTCATTTCCTGATCCTGGTCCTTGTTCTGGTCCTCAGGTCACGGCAGCGTGAGTCCGTCTCAGATATCTGCGGCCAGAGACGACGGCACCAACTCCCAGGACGACGCCACGGACGAGATCATGGACCGACTCGTCAAGTCTGTTACCCAGAATCCCTCAGATAGACCGTCCAGTCCCAAGTCCCGCAAACGGTCTCGAGTGAACAGGAAGTCATGTGAGTACCCGGATCCTGATTTTATTATTATTTGATACTTCGTCAGAGGCGCTTATGTTTGAGTCATGGTTTGATTGAAATGTTGCACTGCTCCTTTAAGAGCGGATCCACCTTGAGTTTGGAGGTTTGGAGGTCTCTGCAGGATCAGACTCTGTGTGGAGACATAACAGCAGCTCTGTGTCCACAACGTCCGTATCACACCTCATGTTCATATCAGTGTTTTCACTTCCTCCATAAATCCTCAGTAATCAGATAATCAACACATCCTCGCTGCTGATAAAGTTCAGAGAACTCAGAAGTCACCCTGAGAAAGTGTTTGGAAGTGTTTGCCATCATAATGCACCTCCAGGGAGCAGCGACGACAAAGTCAGACTGACTCCTCGGAATAAAGTTTACACACATTATTAATTTGGGAAAAGATCGAGAATCAACTTGTCTCATTTTCCCGGACTTTCCAGACCTACTTTAGTCCGATTCATTCAGAAACAAAGAACATTTGAGGTGAAGTTTTCCTAAACCTGGGCCCTGTTTGGTACCTACTTTAGACACATCAGTCCTCACATATGACTATGTGTCTAAAGTAGGTACCTGCAGCAGGAGCTTTCTTTTTTTTCTATAATAAAATATAAACTCAGATTAAAGAAAGAAAAGTTTACAGAACAGTCAAAACTCAGTGTGCTGTGATTCTTAAAGGGATACTTCACCCATTTGCATTAAGCTTTGTATCATTACGAACCTGGTAGTATTTTTGAATGGTCGTGCATCGCGCCCTCATTTTCCCCTGAGACGGGAAATCTTTCTATTTCTACCTGCGTTGCTGTGCATTCTGGGATTTGGTGCCTTTCATCCACATGAGCCAAGAAGGCACCAACTTCAAAATGTGTTTCACATTTCTACTACATGTATGACCCAATGTCAACACAGAGTCGTGTTTCAACGGGTGAAGTATCTCTTTGAGAATGAGGCAATGGAGCCATCACACAAGTAAATAAGAGAGGAAAAACAAAAAACATCCAAATGTTCACGTCATCTTTGTAGCCTGATCATTGCAGCTGATTGATTATTGTTGGTAACAGATGTGCACATGATTGAGTAGATCTTATTCAGTCTATAAGGAGGGGACATGATGGGAACAAAGTCAACAAATTCAGTTTTATTCGACAGGAAGACAACAAGCTGCTGTTCTTGTTTTTCAGACTTCTGTTCTCTGTGATGAGAGAACTATCTGCAGCTGCTGACAAACAAACAAATAAATAAATAATTAACTTGTGTGTGTGTGTTTCAGTGAGGAGGACTCTGAAGAGCGGCCTCAGTCTGGATGTGGTTCAGGCTCTCGGACTCAACAAGACAGCAGACAAGGTCTGAACGATCAATCATTGAACATTATCTACAAGAGACTGAACCCAGACCAGCTGAGTGAGACCGCCGAACGCCACGAGAGAAACAGACCGTGTCCCTGCCTCTGTTTCCTGCACGAGAAGAAGCTCCATTTTGATGTGTTTGCTAGTGTGCTCGTTAATTTAACCGACTTCTTGAAGCTCTTTCACATGAGTGTTTTACAAATGTGACACCAAAGAAATGACAGCAAACAGCCGAGAGATTTAAGATTTGGCGTACTCCACATCGGGACCTTTTAAGATAAAATAAGCTTTAAAAAAAAAATGTTTAACGCTCTAACGTGTTCAAAGTCCTAAAAGTTTAAGTGAGTGTTTGCTGGCACTAAAAATCTGAAAAATCACTAAGGTGGTACCGAACGGTTCAACACTTCCCCTGCCACTGCTTGAATGTGTGTGTGTGTGTGTGTGTGTGTGTGTATAAAGCGTCTGTGTATCTGTGTGTGTGTTATTTTATTAAAAGTAATCAGGATGTACAGTCGTTGGATGTGAGCACGTATCGTCTGTACAGTCAACTTGTTGTTGTTGTTTTTTTTTTTGCACTTTAGTTCAGTTTTTTTGTGACTTGTAGTTCAAATTCTTCTTCACTGGTTTTCAGACACAAACTGTGTGAAGGACGACGACTGTTTTAACTTAAAGGTGAACATTTTACAGAAAAAAGAACGTAAAGATCGAATGTGTTCCTCATCAATAATAAAGGTTTTTAATAAAAAGAACGACAGGATTTACGTATCTATTCAAACATCTGCTTTGATTAAAAGCATTTCATTATTCAAATAGTTAACCTGAAGTGGTCTCATACATTACAACACGATTATAAGCAGGGGCGTGTCCAACTGGGGGCTCTGATTTATGAAGGGGAATATTATTTAACCGTTCAGATTTATTGAATGAAAAGTCGTGCAGTTTGGACTTCAGACGGTACAAAATATGTGACATATAAAAACAAACATGTTTAAAAAGTGCTTCATGGTTTTTATTTTTAATGGCACACTTTCTTGGACCCACTGAAAACGGCTCCGCAACCCACTTTTGGGTCCCGACCCACCAGTTGAGAACCATTGGTCTAAAGTCTGATGTGCACACAAACACACACAAATAAACATCAATTTTTTACCCTTTTAACTTCATCGATCAGATGTTAGCTTGCAAGTACTTGAGAAAGTGGTTGCAAACTCTTCCATAGTCCAACTACTTCAAAATGACAGGAGCTGGCGATATTATTGTCCCGACACTTTGCCACTTAATTCAAAACAAGTAAGACGATGTGCTTTACTTTCACCTGATTTTTTAATTAAAGTAAGAACAAGTGATAATATGTTACAGTGAGATGTAAAGAAAACTACTTGCAGCCTTTGTAAGCAGAAAAAAAGACCTAATGTTTGGCAATTAGCCAATCATAGTTGAGGATTCTTGGGGTGGCCAATTAGATTTCTAGGGGGAGGGGGGGCAATGCCACTCCTGTCCTCCCCTCTGGACACGCCCCTGATTATAACGCCCAGGACTGTGAAAAAAGACGTTACGTTCAGCAACTCTGCAAAGAGGTTCTGAATTGATTCTTAAGTTGAGCAAAAATGACCTGAAGGTGTCGTCATGGTTACTGTCCTCATACTGAACGTCTTCTATAGACACTTAATACGCAGAAGGTTAGCGCAGGTGGGGTGAGAGAGCCGTCCATGTTCAGTTTTATTTAAAGAATGTTTTTATGTGTTCTTCTTCCGTTGTCAGAACAAAAAAGAAAAAAGTGTAGAGGCTGCTCTATTTCAAACTGTATTAATGTTCATAATCAATAAAGATGTAATAAAATACTACTTGAAAAGTGTCAGAAATGTACAATAAAATAAAAAACAAGCAACTTCACGCCTCTTTGTTCATGTTAAATTGGTTATTGATGTTTGTGTTTTGCAGGAGAAATTTGAAAATGTTCAAACCCTCAGTGGGATTTTTAACAGTATCATTAAAGGTGACATATTCTCTCCTTTTCAAGAAATTTAAATAAGTCTCAGAGCTCCCCAGAACATGTGTGTGAAGTATATTTTTCTAAATCCACTCTGATCCTGTATTTGATCATGTCTATAAACCCCTCTATTTCAGCCCTGCTCAGAACAGGCTGTTTCTGTGTCTGTAGCTTTAAATATGTAAATGAGCTGTGTCTGACCACGTCCCCTCTCTGGAAGGGCTTGGGTGTGCTCGGGCTTTCTCGCTGTCCTATTGTTTACGGTGAGAAGGCAGACTCAGAGGGCAGAACAAACACCTAGCTGTGGTAGTGTCATCCACCTGGGGGAGGGGTTACTGCTCTTTGTGATGTCATGAAGGGAAAATCTCCAAACAGACTGTTTGAGCACACATTTTCTGGAAAGTGGAGCAGGCAGAAGACACAGGATGGACTTTTCCATCCTGTGTTCCTCGTATTTATGCTCATATCTTAATCTCCCGTTGTGTTTTAACTTGGTAATTTCTTATCTTACTTACTTTGTCTATTTATGTTTCGTATTTATAGTTAATTTTTATTTTTATTAATATTATAGTTTTGGGTTTTTTGATCCTTTAACCACTTGTTTTTATTTCTTTTACTGCGCTTACCTTCTCATTGCTTTTTATTTGCTTTTATCTCTTAGTTTCTTACATCTTTTTAAATCTTTGGTCCTCTTGGTCTCAGCTCATGTTGTTGGGTTCTTGTGTTCCTGGTCTTATGATGGTTCTTATGATGGTTGGGTTATATATGTCTGGTTGTGTATCGTGCACTTTGGGTTCTTTTCTGTTGAATTGTTTTTAATTATTTTTGGTATTTTGCATCTGTTATATTCTTACTGTTGTTAATGTTTTTCTGTGTTTGGTTTAGTTTGCTTTGTTCTTGCTGTTTGTCAAAGCACTTTGTAAACCTGTGTTTTTAAAAGGTGCTATATAAATAAAGTTATTATTATTATTATTATTATTATTACTGTTTTCAAAACTTAAAGGTCAAATTAAAGCAACTCATTTTGTTTTTATCCAAAGCAACGAACATCAAAGAGTAAGTACAACATTTTCTTATTAATATATCGTCATCAACAACTACATCGACAGTTGTTCTTGGGATTTCCAGCTGGCCCTGAAGGTCAACTGTAAAAACAGTTCACATAACTTTGAATGTTTTGTTTTTTCTCAATTAACCCTTCAGGGCCACCGTAGAGTGTTGTATTGATTGTGATGTTTATATCGTGCATGACTCCAGTGTTACAGAAGTATAACAGAGGTATTACTTAGTGAACTACATTAACAAAGCAGACTGTCCCTGTAAGTATATCTGACTGTGTCTACCTGCAGTGTCTCCGTCTCTTTAAAGCTCGTGGTCGCCGGGTCACATGTCCAGCTCCGGTGTCCCCTCCTCCTCTGATTACCGGAGCCTGCGTGTGTTTGAGAGAGTGTGTGTGTTTGTGGATGTGTGTGTTGTTATAGTAAACCGGCTGCCGGCCCTCCTCCGCGGCTCCGTGTCCTCTCTGTGTCTCGGTATATAAGGATCAGGAGGGGGGGATGTCAGCCCGCTGACCACCGGGGGGGAAGATGCTGCCGCTCGGTGTGATGCTGCTGCTGCTGCTGACGGCCGCTGCTGCCGCCGCCGACGTGACTGGGACCGGCGCTCCGCCGCTCCTTGAGCCGGGGCTCGGCTTCTCTTCACCGGTCCCCGCCTCTCCCTCCGCCCCGCCGCTGCTCCTTCTCCCGAGACCCCAAGCGGACCACGGGGCGCCCGGTGTAGCCTTGGCCCGGTCAGCGGCGGAGGAGCCGCCCGGCCCCGGAGTGGAGCTAGAGGAAGGGGAGCATCATCATCATCACGGCGGCGGGTACAAGATCGTCCAGTGGGAGTGGAGCTACGTCCAGACTCCGTACATCATCGCCATCTGGCTCCTGCTGGCCAGCGTGGCCAAGATCTGTAAGTCCCACTCCTCTGTCAGACTGGGTCTTTACTGGTCTTTACTGGGATATGAACCAGAGCTATGATTACACAATGAAGTGTTTAAAACTCACTGTAAAGCTGCGTGTAGGCCACTGGTTTTTAATGGTTTGGCTCAATTAACATAGAACTAAAACTGTAGCATGCAATCTGAGTCTACTTTTCTACTGATTCAGTTTCATGATGTGAAGAATAAAACCATGAGAGCAGAGAAACTGCAACTACAAAAACCAACCTACTGCATCACCATCATGTTCTTATATGGATGTTATGTCTGATAAATAAACTCAAAGAGACAGAAAATGATACATTTAAATTAAGCATGTTGAAATTCATCAATTATGTGCTTCATCCCTTTACAATTACATTGATTTTATTCATAGTTGGAGCTCTGACTTAAACCAGAATTAGTCTAAAACAGAAGCAGAAGTTGATTAGTGATGCCAGAGAGGTTTTTTTCTTTTGTAACACAGACAGAAATATTGATATCTCTTCAACGAGGACTATACTTCGATCTGAAATGAGCATTTGTAGGCGATTAGTGTTGCAGAGAAGTTAGGAGGACATGTGTCTCCTCTCTCCACATTAACATAACCAGAATGAATAAAGCACACGAGTCAGCCGGTGAACACACACACACACACACACACACACACACACACAGTGTCCCCGATCTTTTCACAACACACACGACTGTCTGACAGTTTTGAATGTGTTTGTTCACACTGATAAATACTCTCCTAACAGGAAACATAGTAACAGAAGAGGGTACAGTCTGCCTTTTTGACAACGATCATGCATGATAAATATTACAAAAAAATGTGAAGACTCAGAGTCAAGTTAGTTTACACATACAAGGAATTTTGTCTTGTTGTTTCGGTGCCAAAACAATGAACATAGATGTAGAATAAAAAAAAGTAGAAAGCAGCAGAACCGGTGCTGACAGAGGATTTAAAAAAGATTAACGCGAGACCCGACGGTTCATCATCCAGAACACTCGAGAAACTACAATCAGAGGAGAGTCTGGAGTCTGATGGGGCAACCCTCAACCCTCCAACCAGCAATCAGCAAGGCAACAAGAGTGAGATCTGTCAGATGGGAAACCCTTAGGGAGGTTTCCTACTGTCATTGCAAAATTGTCACATTTTCAGCCGCTGCTTTGTGGCCCTCTAATGGTCTGTGGCCCCCAAGCAGTTGCCTGTTGACAAGCAGCGCCTCTGACTATAATATAAACAGAATTCAGCTGCTCGTCTTCTAACACACTCCTGCACCCTCACCCTCAAAACATCACAGACTCCCCTCCTCACTCTCCAACCTCAAGAAATCCCGAAAAAACTCACCTCCTCAACATCGCCCACAACCACTAACAAACTCTGTCCTCATCCTCCTTCTCTTAGCATCGCAAGAAAACAGAAGTCTCTCTACTCTGACTCTGAATCACAGAGCTCATGCTTCATTTAATTTGTCATGTATAAGGCAGAGACACTTTTCATAGAGACATTAGTCGAGGAGGAACACACCAGCAGGACTGTTCACTCAGCCTCCTTCTGTCTTCTGTCTCCTGTTTAAACATTTTATACCAGCGTCATCACACACACACACACACACACACACACACTCACACACACACACACACACACACACACACACACACACACACACACAGACTGTCATGTTTCCTGGGCAGCTGGTGACTCACTGTGCTGCAGAACAATAACACACTATACATGCTGCTGATTAAGGTGGTCATGTTACACACACACACACACACACACA